CGGCGGGCTGGCCGGGCACCACTTCCCGGGGAACGCCGGGGTCGCGGCCCGGAGCGTGAGGGAGCGAGGCGGGGGCTCGGTCTGGGGTGAGCGGGTAACGGGAGCACCGGCGGAGAGGCGGCACCTGTGTGCCTACAGGTAGGGCACTGCAGCACAGCCGCTTTCGGTGAGAAATGTGGGCGAAAAAGCTTCCAGACTGGCTTTTTTTTTTTTTTCTTTTTTTTTCTTTAATTATTTTTTTTATTGTGAGGTGAGCCAGACGTTGAGAGGGAAAGCGGTTTTCCGCAGTCTGACGGTGGTTTAGGAAAATTCTGCTCGAATTGCTGCTGTTGGTAGGAGATGATCCCTGAACTCTTCAACCGAGTAGTGCTGTGAGTCAGATGCTGAGGTGATTTAGCTGCACAGTCACTTCACCAGCTCCAAACACACAACTTGATGCACGAGGATGAAAAAAACAAAACAGAAACTGCGGCTTTTGTTCTGCTCTGCTCCTCGTCTGCCTCCCCCCTCTCTAAAGCACAGGTGGTTTCACTACCTGCGGGTAAGAGCAGCACGTGCAGACTCTCAATTTCTGCATAACCCCGGCAGAAAAAGGGGACTATTCATTTTGGAGAGGCTCTGTGAGCTCTCGCAGTAATCCGAGCCGCGGCACCCAGCTGGCTGCTGCACTTCTGGCTGTTTTGTTCTGGCGGCCGCCGTGCCTCTCGGTGTGTCTGGCCCTGCTCTAGCACGTTAAAAGTTTCGAGATGACAGCTTTGTTAGGCTGCTTTAGGCACCTCTGTTTATAGCAGCCTGGTGAGCTGATCAATAGCAAACTCGCAGCTTGGTGAGGGCTGCTAATCTTCATGAAGTGGCAGTGTTGACAGAGAGGGCTTTGCTGCTGTGTCACCAGATGCTCGCTGTGGATGGCCAGGACAGGAGCACTCTCTGACACTCCAGTTGTGTCCCACTGCAGGTCTTTCATCAGTTCCCATGTGGGAATTTACCCCCAGGGAGACTTTCAGGTTTGGCGTTGCTTGCTCACCCAGAGTGTGCTACAGGGAGATGCCAACATTAAGGTCAAGTCTGGCTGCCACGGAGTTTTCTGGAAGTTTGGCTTTCTATTTTGATGGCTTAAAAGCAGCACTTAGATGCCTTTTTCTCCTATATGTTGGGTTCTAATGTTGCCCTGAGCACCATGTACAGATCCTAAAATGCGCTTTACAAACTGTTATTTTAATTTTTAATATTGATGAGCTACTGGTAGTGGTAACAAAGGCAAAAGAATTGTGCTGCAGAGAGGAAGTTTCTGTCCTGGAGCAGTTTTGGACAGAAGTATGTTTGTGGTCAGGCATGTGGAGTTTACCTGTGTATTTGGCTGTCATATACTTCCAAAATTACTATGAAATTTAACATTTCTTCTTGCCAGTTAACAACAGCCATGGTAAACACAGGTTTGTCTTCTGTTTCCTCCTTGAAGTAATTGGTGAGCCAAGTAAAATCAGATAAACTGTTTCTGACCTGGCCAGTCTTACTCACTGTCAAGAGGGAGATGAACATCCCTGAAATGCAGCCAAGTCTCCCAGAATAGGTTTTCATAAATGTAACTATTCATCTCTGAGCGTTGGGGTGTTGGCTTTGCTGCCATTTGTTGTTAAGTGAAGAGTGAGGCCAAGATTTACCAAAATAGTTTTGAAGTGAAAAATTACTGTTCTGCTGATAGAGAGATTGGTGGAGATACTCAGCTTTGTCAGAAAAGTAGGAAAAAACTTCATTTTTTTTTAATATGAAGTTACATAACGAATATAATTCCTCTGCCAGTTGTAGCTACATATTAACTTTATTATTGTACTTGTAATCTTCAATTACCTCTGGAGCCCCACCTGTGTTAAACTAAATTAAAAACATAAATTACTCTTGAGGCCACAGAAGAAATGTCCCTTGGCCATGAGGTTTCTGGAGCAGAAGCAGGTTTGCAGTCTTAGAAACCAAACAGAGCTCAGCCTACAAATAGATGCCTTCAGGATCAGTGTTTCTTCAGGCAGTTCTCTCACTGCAGCCATGGAGAAAGGATGTTTTTGTGGCAGATCCACGGTAAACAATTGACATCTTCACTGTTTGTGATGGCAGAGTCTCCATTTGCTGTTCAGTAGGCAAGTGGGTTGATGTTGAACTCCAGAGTTGCCAGGTGGCTCCCCAAATTCATCCTCATGGGATTCCTCTAGCATAATATCAAATGTGTGGTGTGATAATGACTGAGAAATGGCCACAGGCTGTTGTTGGCCTTGCTAAATCTTCAGATCTTTGATTTCTGTAGCGGTGACTGTGCCTTAAAGGCAGAATTCAGTAGTGAGGCTGGAGCAGCATCACAAGAGGCTTCCCTGTTTCTCTCTGGAGCTTCACTGGGACGAGCTTGGAGCAGTGATCCACTCTGCTCCAATTCCACTTCCCCTTGCCAGAGTTGGGAAGTGTCCTGGGCTCCTAGAGCAGTCATTCTATGGCTTCCTGAGGGCAGGGCAGAGATGTGGGATGTTCTGCAGTAAGATGGTCCCCTTGGTGGGAGTCCTGTTGAAGAACAGCAGCTAGTGAGTCTGTTCTCGTTAGCATTTAATAGCCTCTGATGTGGTGGTGTGGTCACACTGATGTTTGCAGGAGGAGTCTTTGCCAAGAGACTTAAAAGTGAGCCTGCTTATAGTGATGGATTCTTGGATTGCCTTGTTGTGTGTGCATCTCCCTGATCCAGCATCCCTGATCCACCGTCCCTGATCCACCGTCCCTGATCCATCATTGGTTCCAGCAGTGAGGGACACGGTCCCGTGGGATGTTGTAAGAACAAAAATTGCAACCAGAAGGTCCTTGAAGCAATCTCAAAACTGTTCCCAGTGGAGGAGGAACTGAGCAGAGGGAGGGAAGGAAATACCACCTTTCTCTCTCCTTTTCTGCTAAACAGATGCTAAGAACTTCAGGATGAGCAGAATGGAAGTGAAGTTGTACCTCACTAAACAGGAGGTTTTATTTTGAGTTTGCATTGGTTTTACCCCAGCCAGCAAATAAACACCACACAGTCATTTTTTCACTTCTTCACTGCTCTGGTGCTGAAGAGAATCCCAAGTAAAGCTTGGGAATTAAGAACAGTTTAATTATTGAAGCAAAATAAAACATATCTAAAATTAATATAATACTAATATTACTTGTATTAAGAAGGAGTTAAAGCCAAGAGAAACAAGTGGTTCCCAGTAGAGTTGCTCAGCAGCCACTGACTGATAAACTGCTCCCAGTTTATGTAGTGGGCATGAAATTCTGTGGTGTGGAGCATCCCTTTGGCTGTCCTGGCTCTGCTCCTCCTGGCATTCCATGCACCTGTGCATGGGAGCTGCAAAGTCCTTGGCTCAGAGGAGTCTCTTCTTGGCAACAACTGAAACATCCCCGTGTTAGCGACATGATTCTCATCCTAAAGTCAAAACACAGCACTGAACCAGGAAGAGCAAAATTTGTTCTGTCCCATCCCAAACCAGGAAAATGGTTTTTACCATTTACAGTTTTTCTCTGAGTACCCCATTGGATTAGAAGAATTGATTTTAATTTTCCCCAATTTGTTTTGTTTTTTTCGCTGTGAGTGGCTCCTTATTTATGGCTGAGGAACTTCCCCAGGGGCAATGGCTCATCACCATCAGCAGACTCTGATATGGGATACCAGTTCCTGTCCCATGGAATTCCTGCTGGGAAGATTAGACCTGGGGTTATTTATCTTTTTTTGCTCATCATTACTGAGATTTGTAGCCAGATCTCCAGTGTTCTGTGCCAAGATCAGCTGCCCAGCAAGAGCTGTTGGCTTTTTGCTTCCTCCTCTTTGCAGATACAGGATTCTGTGGAAGACACGCTTTCTCCCAACCATTTTTGGATGGATTATCCCTAAATGCCACAATGTCACAGTTCTACAAAATGAACCTGGTGGAGGGGAGGCTTTACTTTAATGTAGGACATGCATCAAAGTAGGGCTGGTTAATTATTTTAACACCCCGTGGTTCTCCTGGGGTGGGACAGAATCCAGACAACAATGAAACACTGAGCTGTTGATACAAGCTTGGTACAGTCCACCTGGGATAAGGAATTATTTGGTATTTTGGAGCCATTCAGTTTTTTCCCTCTGCTGTGTGTTCCTGATCAAAAGCCAGATCACTCCTTAGCATGGTGCTGTTTCTGGTGGGGCTGTGGCATTTTTTTTTCCCTTTCTCCCTGGATTAGCCATAATTTTTCCTTGTTTGATGGAAAGCCTCTAATGAGGTGTGATGATTTGAGGAAGTGCTCTCTCCAAGCTGTTGGATGCCAGACCTTTAAGTAGAAGGGCCTTTGTGTTTCATGACTCCTCTGTCACACTGCCTGAACATGAAAGGCACATTGTGGACAGGGAGCAGCTCTCATGCCTTTAAGATGGACATTTTAAAATTTTCTTTATTACTTTTCTTTTGCTTTGAGCTCTTGCTCTCTCAAATTACCTCTTTCTATGTCTTTTCCCTCTTTAATTTAGTTCTCACACTACCCAGTATACCCAGGATGATGGGATTAATTTCCAGTCCCATAAAGGTCCTCTTACCAACACTCCCAAAAGTCTCTGGAAGATCAGAGGAAAATCATTCCACTGAGAAATCGTTGTTTTCCTGTCTTCACATTTTCTTACATTACTTCACTAAAGATCTTTGAGTACTCTGATCTTACAAAAGTGAGAATCAATTCCCAAACACAAAGGTTTGCCCTAAAAGGAGTTTTTGGCCTGAAGTGACAGGCTTGAATCCATTTCAGATTTCCTAGTTTGGGGCTGTGGAAATGAAGAGGGAATGAGCTGAGCAGGAGCTTTGGGAAACACCTCAGTGCTTGCTGTTCTGGACAGGTCAACATCTGCCACATCTCACACTTGATCCTCCAGCTCTGCTCCTCTGAGAACTTTAACTTGGAAACTGGGAAGGAGGAGGTGTGGTGAGCCCAGTCTGCCCAAAATGTTACTTCTTTGGGGCATTTATCCAGCAATTAATGAAATGTTGAGGCCCTCCTGCTTCTCTAATCAGGAGATGGTTATATTTGTTTTTAGATTTTGTATTTTTATTAACCCTCTTGTTGGTGCTGAGTGTTGCACTTGCTCTCCAACAGAGCTCTGGGTTTTCCCCTATTATTTAAACTGTGTCAATGTTCTCTTGTTTACTACTTATTATTTGTTTAATATCTGCAGTGACATCCATGTGTCATGTCATGAACTCAGATAATTCAGCAGTCAATAATCAGAATCAAATGAACACCCCTTTGTACAATTTTGTAAATGTAAAGCTTTTTTTTTCCTGAGACGTTTTCTTTTTCCTGTCCTGCCTGCACAAATGGAACAAAGCCTTTTTCAGCTGTGAGATGATTTAAAACTTCTTGGTTAGCCAAGTAACTACTTTAAACTTAATTGATTCACATTTCAAGGATATTCATGTGAAGTTCAGGCCTTCAGCTGCTCAGTGAGAGCCAAGTTATAGACCAGGCTTGGAGAGTGTTTATATTGGAGACTTCCCTAAAGCTCACTGCAGAAATCTGGCCAGGCACCCTTAGAATTGTTAAATATTCTGCTGCCAGAACAGCACAATTATTACATTTAATATCAAATCTAGTTTTACATCTAGAGAGAGAGCAGTGCTTGGGTTTGGTGTGCTGTAGGTTTTATATACATTGTTATATATATTTTATGTATTCCAGGTGAGTAATGAGAACTTCTTGGATGTTTTCTTCCTTGCACTGTGGGAGTCAGGGTAGGAAAAGCTGCTTTTATCAGAAATCAACCACTGGGCTTTACTAATTTGATAAATGTGCCTGTGAATGAGTTCCTTTCTCATTTGTGTTTAAAACGATGCAGGTACTAAACACAAAGATTCTCTCTAAAGAATTCTTTCTGTCTCAGAGGTGCAAGTCTCAAATAGATAATAAATGCTGAAAACTCATTTTGACGGTTTTTCTACCCAAGAGAAGACAGAGCAAGAACTGAAGTATTTCAAGACCATATTTACAGTAGTAAATAATACACTTCTTTAAAGGTTAAAGAGTGATTTGTCTTAAGCTCCCCCTGTTATATTTGACTTCGCTTTTTCTACTAATTTTGATGTATGACTAATTATTTCCTAGTTACAATTTTAATTTTTACTGGTGCTGAGATAATCTGCTTTTAAAGCTTTAAAGGGCTGTAGGTTAGCTATACTTTATTGGTTGTATTTCTGTTCCAGGAGCACAAAATCCTGGAATAATTTGGGTTGGAAGGGACCAGACAGAACTACTTAATGTTTTTATAGTTAAAATCTACTTTATCCAGTGCGTGACACTCGAGCCTTCAGTGTGTTGGTAAATATTGCTGTTGCTTATAGGATGTTTAATAGGATGTAGTGAAGATTACTGTGGGAGTTTTCAGTCAGTTTTTGTAGATTAACAGATTAATTGATTTATTAAAGAGGAAATACCCTTTAGGAGGAGCAGATTTGTCGCTGGTGCGTTCGGGTTGTTGGAGCGTGGAGAAGGCGGTGGCACCGGGGCTGGCAGCCACTACTCAGGTGTGGTACCGCTCTGAGTTTACTCCTGCTTTACTACAGCTCGGAGTTGAGGGCAGTGCTCGGGGTTTGCTCCGGGCTGGGGGTGCAGGAGCTCCCCGGAGCGGGGCCGGCGATGGGAACAAGCGGCGCTGTTTGTTTCCGCCGTTCTCAGGGAAACATCCCTCTGCTTACATTCCTCACGAGTTAACAGCAGAGGATCTACCTGACTCGGCTGACCCCCTTCTCCTCCAGAGCAAACACTCCCTCCTGGCCCTGTCCTGGAGAGCTGCTTGGAGCACGGGGAGCAGAGCTAAGTCCTTGCCCTGAGCTGTGGGGAGCAGAGCTGGGAACATCACGATGGGAGCACTGTTCTCTTTCCGAGGAGACCCGAGTGCTGGGAGATGTTGGAGGTGAAGTTTAGAGAAGTGCCTGGCTTAGTAAATCTGAGTGTAACACACAGATATTTACAGCTGTTTGGTTGAAAGGAGTACACATTTTCCTAGAGTTGGCAGGGTGTGTTTTATCTTGGTGAATCCTCACCAGCGGTGCTATGTGAGAAATGCTTTCACAGAAACTCAACACAACCCCAGTTCCACAGGTGAAGGTCTCTGCCCTGCCAAGAGCCCACGAGAGCACAAGAACCAGAACCTTCCTGGAAGAACCCTTTGCACAAACCTGGCAGTGTTTGCAGCCACTGTGGAAATTGGTGTTCAAATCTTCACCAGATTTCTCTGCTTAAATCAGGCTTTGTTTTAAATCTCCCTTATATTCTCATAATTTTTTATATGAGATCTCATAATTATCTCCCAAAGAGGTGTTCAGCAGGGGCTGTTTTTCCTCTCAAAGTTTGAGGCAGTTACTGGGAAATCATGTGGAATCATCTGATACACAGATGACTTTCAAAAGAGTGTTCAGAGCTGTTTGAAATCCTATTTCCTGCTACCTAATCATCATATAAAACTTTCAGTGTTGCTCTTGTAAAATAATACCGGGAATCAAAAGGGCAAACATGTCCCTCTTCTTCTGAGAGGGACAGGAGCCACTTTTTGGAGTCTTCAGTGGCCCAGCACAACTGAGCTGCCAAAACTGTACAGAAAATGTCTTTTCAGTCTCTCATGTCTGAGAAAGAGACACCTAATTCTTGTTTGAAAGATGCCCACACTCAAATCCCCTACCTGGCTTGAATTTTGGGCATATCTTGCATATCAGAAACCCCATCTTTATCACACCTTATTCAAGGATGGGTGGTGGCTGGAGAAATGCTGCCATATTTTATTAATGCAGTATTTGACAGCTGTTAAATAGTGAAACTAGAGATTGGTGCTCTCTTGACTAAAAGGTGTGCACCTGATACCCCTCACAGAGAACCCAATTAACCTTTAGGCTTCATATATTAAATTTCCAAACTGGCAACTACACTCATCTGCTGCAAATCATCTGCAATTAAACTTTCAGAAGAAGCTGGTTGATTATTTTGCTTGCAGAAATCATCTTGCACTCTTGTATATGGGATTTATCCAGCTAAAATAATGTAAATATCCAGGTTGTTGCTCCTGGTTTTCCCTTGAGGTGGTGAATGTTCATCTCTGCTTTCTCAGCACTGAACTGACAATAATTTGTGGGGTTTTTGGAGCATGTGCACCTTGGTTTTTTGGGAATAGCTGTAGGAAACTCCTCTTAGACTTGCTCTTAGCCACCCCTTGTCTCTTCCCATTAATTAGTGGGAGCAAACAGCACTCTTGGGATTGATTCTCTGTTGAGCAGCTGTGCAGTAATTGATAGAGGATACTTTCCAGGGGGTACTCTGACCACAATTATCTGCTGGGTGAAAGAATATCCATTAGTAAGAGTGAAAATCTATTAAAGTGAACTTGAGCAGGAGACTAAAGCAACTGGTGGGTTTTGGGGCAGCATTGTGCCCTTGGTAAATTTGGTGATGTGATGCTGCCAGTGTTCCTTGTCTGTGTGGTATTTTAGCTATGCCAGTTGCACTTCAGAGAAATGGAGAGGGTTTTGCTATTTAATGAGCTGTGATGTTATTTGTTTTTATCAAAAGACAGTTACAGGACGCCCTTTTGTGTTTATGTGACCCCAGAGAATGAAAAGTAAATTAATCAAATTCAGCGAGCCAGTTTTATATGTGAGATAAAAACATTGCTGCAGCAGTGTAACCAACTCCTTTAAAAACAAATATTTGATAGTGTTTCTATGGTGAAATTTTCTGTTTGTTGGGAAGGTTTTTGGGTTTTGTTTGAAATGAGGATGAATTTATCCGCTTGCTTGGTTTGGTGACTTACTTATGTGATGTTGCTTGTACTTTTTCCCTTGCAGGAAATCCACGACTTGTTTAAAGATTATGAAATCAAGTATTGTTATGTGGACAGGAATAAAAGAACAGGTGAGAACTTAAAACTTGCACATGTTTCAGTTCTGTGAGGAACACTGTGCTATGTATGAGGTCATGGACTGTCACAGCTTGTCTGGTGTCCCCCGGTGCCTTTTTTGTCACCTTCTACTGAAGCCAGTGAAACTGGAAACTTTCTGGTGCTGATCAGAAGTTTTTTGGTGCCCTCTGGTCTCTCTCAGGATTATTCCTCAGTGAGTGTCCCTTTGGAACAAAGCTGACCTCAGCTGGCTCAATTCCTTTGGAAAACTGGTCCTGAGGCCTCTCTTGGGACAAACTACACGTGCCTGAGAGGGAAACCTGCCCAGCTCCGGATGCATTTGTAGTTTGCTCACATCAGGAAACACTTTGGCCCTGTGAGGGTCACCCAGCACTGTTGGGGTTGTGGTATCTCCATCCCTTGGGATCCTGGAACCCATCTGGGTGACCCTGCTTGAGGAGCAGGTTGGACAAGAGGCCCTTAGGAGGTCCTTGCCACCCTCATCCTGTTTGGGATTGTGTGAAATGCTTTATGGACTGAAAACCCCCAAAAAAGATCTCTTAACCCCAAAGTGAGAACTTGTGGACGTTGTCATCAAAGAGATTCTGTAGAATCTGTGATGTGTTGACTTCAGTGGAATATTTAATTTAGTAAATAATAGTCTGCTAGCAGAATATTTAATTTTGTTCCCCAGCTACAAAATCTGTTTGAGTTCCAAGCAGTGAAGCTGTGTGCATCACCACATACTCACTTTTTGAGTTAATTGCTCATGATGTTCAATTGATAATCCCAGATTTTAGACATGATATATAATGTATATAATAGATACATTTACCTGCTGTGTCTCTGGGGCAAATCTGCAGCTCTCAGCTGTGGTTTCAGGGGGAGGGAGAGGTGTGGCTGCAGGTCAGCTGGGGTAGGTGATGTCCCCACTCCTGCTCTCTTGCAGCATTTGTCACCCTGTTGAACGGGGAGCAGGCCCAGAGCGCCATCAGGAAATTCCACCAGCATTCCCTGCGTGGCAAGGAGATCTCCGTGCAGCTCCAGCCGACGGATGCTCTGCTGTGCATCACCAACCTGCCCCTTTCCCTCAGGATAGAGGAGTTTGAGGAGCTGGTGCGTGCCTATGGCAATGTGGAGAGGTGTTTCCTGGTCTACAGCGAGCTCACCGGCCATTCCAAGGGCTATGGATTCGTGGAATACATGAAGAAGGACTCTGCTGCCAAGGCCAGGCTGGAACTCCTGGGCAAGCAGCTGGAGGAGAGCACTCTGTTTGCACAATGGATGGATGTGAACCAGCTGACCACAAACCTCATTCACTCCAAGTGCCTTTGCGTGGATAAATTACAAAAAGACTGCGCTGATTCGAAAGAGCTGATCCAGGCTTTCTCCCTCAAGTACAAACCTGTGTTCTGCCAGGTATGTTGGGTTTCTGTCTTATGGAAAACCAAGGTTAGGACTGCAGTATTGCCTCACTTCGCTCTTGCTGTCTTCCACTTCTATTTTTCCTATTTATTTTTATTTTCCTATCAGTTTTCCTGTCAACTGTTGTGCATCTGCACAGTGATGGGAGTAGTGATGCTGAACTGCTCTGGGTGTGCAGTGCCTGATCCCTGTTGTCTGGGAATTCTGCAGGACACCACTCCAGTGAAACACCAGCAAAATGTCTGGAAGACATCCCCTTATGTCATTTACTGAAACGAATTTGGTTTTTGAGAGCTTTGAAAGTAAACATTGCTGAAGGTTTTATTGCTCAAAGAAAGCAAGAGTGTATGAATAACCACAAGTGCAATGGTTCAGATGATGCAAAATGCATCATATAATAAATATATTAATATTTTACATTTTTTTCTCTAACTGAGGAAGATGCAGGCTTGACTCCTTGGGTATTGCCAGGGATAGAAGTGACACATCTTTTGGAGAGCTGGGAAGCAGAGAAGAGGTGGATCCTCGCCTTGGTAGTGCAAACGTTTCCTTCTCATCCTTGTGAGAGGAGGCCACAAACAGATGTGGCACAGATAGATCATCATAAACAGGCAGTAGAAGGAAATCTTTCCTCGTAGTCACTCAGATTCCAGTTGCAGGGTTGTTTTTTTGTTGTTTTTTTTCCCCTTAAGTCTCTGTGGAGGCTGCTGAGGGATCAGCCCTGGGGATGAGCTCCCGGAGATTCCCAGCATGCGGAGCAGAAGGTCCAGCAGGATCTGCAGCCCGACCACCTGCAGGCCTTCACACCCTCCCTGGGGCTCTTTTGCCAGCCCCAGCAATTTGTAGGTGGCCAGAGTAAATCCTTAGACTTGCTTGATCCAAATGCACCAGGAGATGAATAGATTGGAGTGAACTCTTCCCAGAAAATGCCCCTTCCTGGCTGTTTAGATCTCCAGCCTGGGAATGTGTCTGGCTTCAGCCTTACCTCACTGATGCCTCAATTAAGGAGCTTTTGCTCTCCATTATTTTCTTCCTGTAAGTAGGTATTAAATGCTGTACTCAAGTCTCCTGCTCAATCTTTGTTTAATTAGCTCAACAGATTGATCCTTTTAAGTCTTTTCCTTCGGGTTTTTTTTTTCCAGCTGTCAAATAATCCGGGGGCTGTTATCAGCTCCCCCAACAATTTTTCACCATCCTTTAAAAATTCTAAGCTTCAAAGAATAACAGACTTCTTGGGGAAAGGTGGGTTTCACTGACAGAGCTCTGCTGTGCAGTTAGAGGCACTCAGAAATTGACTTTTTACCTTTTAAAATGATGATAAATCTTGGGCCGTACTTGGTGTGGGTGAGGAGAGTGACTGTGTGCATTAGGTCATTAAATATTCCTGTTCCTATAAAATACAGGAGGGTGGAGGTAGGAAAACAAATAGTTCAGATTTGAAAAAGGGAAGAAAATGGGTGCTAATTAATTATGGGTTTGTGAGTGAGACTACCTGAAAGTTGAGGACAAGGAAAGAAGGAGGAGGAAAACTCAAGAAAAGGCAGAAAAAGCAAAGAGGGGAGATGTGATGGGGTGGGTAGAGACAGAAAAACTGGGAGATGGCAGGGTAACAGAAACCTCAATGTGGGGGGAATTTCTATAGGGAATGACTGAGAAAAATATCTTTTTTTTTCCTGAAAAACTTGAATGTAGCTCTTGTGGTGCTGCCATGGCTTAGTTCTGCTGGGAGCTCATGCTGGAAGTATTTCATCAAGTAAACACAATCCTTTGCCCAAAATTCTTACCTGAACTCATGAAATAAACTCTGGGTTATTTCCTCTTATTCCAAAGTTACCATTTTTTTAAAAATCGTTTTTATTTCTTCTCTGTAGACAACAGCAATGTTCTGTCAGGAGGAGCTGAAGCTAAACACTTACACATGGATATTAGGAAAAATGTGTTTTGTCCTTTGTTTCAACAAAATGGACCAGAAAACCTCATTCTTTTCTTCTGTCAACTTTAAATTGTCGCTAAAAGGTCTCCACCCTTATCTGGATAGGAATAAAGAGATTTTTTTCAGTACCTGTTTACTTGGGAAGTTGAAAAATTCCTGAATCCTTTGCAAGAATATTTGGTGGCTGCACTTGGGACACGTTAAGGGAGTTTTTAACTGTGTTTCATTTTAGCTGAAACTAAAATACAGATGTTCCATAGCTTCAAACCCTTCTTTCCACAAGTACCTCAGGTCTTTGCCAGTGCACCTAAACTGGTATCAAAATAAAATATAAATATAAAATGTATTTGTATATGAAATATGTGCTCTCCAGAGCTCTGCCCAGAGGCCAGGCTGTAACAGTGCCATTAAAGATTTATCTGACCACCCTCTTTTTCTTCCAAATCTTTGACATTTATATTTCAGTTGTCAGGGGAAGTTTGTGGGGCTGAGGTTGTTTTTATCCAGTGCAATCTGGAGCAGGTTTTGTCTCTTCCACACCAAAGCTGGTATCAGTTTATCATTCCCGTTCATTTAGGGACTGGAGATTTTTGCCTAAGCTTCATCCCTCTCTTCTCACCATGTTTTTTTGTTTGATTTAAATCTGCTCATTCTCTCTCAAAGTCTGCACACAAAGGCCAGGGCAGTGTTTGTCACATAAGCCCTTTTCCAGTCTACTTGATTGATCAGTCTGGCATCTTCTCTTGGCATTCCCCACAACCACAGCCTTCACATGCTCCCAAAAGGCACCAGATACTGGTGGAATTTGCATTGTTGCATGTTTCAGCAGCTGTCATGCACCCTGATGAACGACACTTTGATTATTGCAGGCTGGCAAAAAATGAAGAAGAATGAGTTTATAATTATCCTACAAAGTAAAACCAGTTGTAGCATCCAGCTGTATTTACAATTCCCTTCTCATTCCTCCTTTGTTGTTTAAATATGTGTTAAATGCACGATGTTCTCCATGAGGTGAGATGGAAGTGAAGGTGGGAATGGAAGGAATCATGGAAGGAAGGAGCAGATAACCACGAGGAGATAATCATGAGTCTGTAATTGTGAATGCCAAATAGATGAAGATGTGACATTCAACTTAATTCCATTATAATAAAAAAATAAGATTTTGAGAAAGAAACTTCCTGGTTTGGGGGGAAACGTTATCCTTGGGTTGTGTCAGCAGGGGGCAGGTGACAGTATTGCAGGGCAGCTGCTGGAATTCCCAGTTTTCCTGGGAGTGCTGGGAACTGTTGTTGTTGTTGTTGTTGCAGTTTGCCCAGGACGAGGACGGCGGCAGCGGGGACTTTGCCGTGGTGGAGTACGAGAGCGCGGAGCAGGCAGAGAGCGTGAGAGGGGCCATGGACGGGGTGACCATCAACGGCAGGAGGGTCCAGGTGTCCTTCTGTGCCCCTGGAGCACCGGGCAGGAGCACCTTGGCAGCTCTGATAGCAGCACAGAGGATGGTGAGATCCCTGGAAACTTCTTTGGGATGAGCCTGAGCCGGGGCTTTGCGCAGCGAGGAAAAGGAGCTGGGCTTGGGAAGCTTTGGGTTTATCAAAGCCACGTTGGACAGGGCTTGGAGCAACCTGGGATAGTGGAACATTCCCTGCCCATGGTAAAGGATGGGCTTTAACCAACCCAAACCATTCTGAAATTCTGTAGAATCAGCCCAGTTCAGGCTCCTTGCTAGGCAAAGATGGCCAGGAAGAAGATAAAATATATCCATAAAATATCAAAAAGTTACACCCACATAGCTCTGGGATTTCAGTAAATGTAATCTCCTGTAAGAGAAATCATTTCAGCTCAAAACAAAAGTGACTGGGGATGAGTCATGGGACGAGCTAAAACTTGGTTTAAAACAGAGAGGCAAGAATTTGTCAGCTTTAAGATAAATTTCAAGGCAGGAGAAATAGGTTCATTTCATGCTCGAGGTAGAAGAAAGCTTTTTACACCCACATGTCTTATCAAATTATTTCCTAGAAAATTGGATGTGATCAGTGTTACATGGAAAGGCAGAAGAGTTCCCTCTCTTCAGCCAGCTCAGACCACATCTCTATAAAAGAGATGAGAAGTCTGTTACAAGATCTGGTGCTCATGGCAACGTTTCTTATTCTCCTGTACTGATAACGCTGGGTTTAAATGAAAAAAAAGAAATGTGCTTGAAATTGTGTTGGAATCATTTGTTAGGTGTTTAATTTGAGGGGGAAAATGCAAGGATCAGGGAAGGAAATGATATTTTTTTTGTGTCAGATGAAATGTGTACATTGCCGTTGGAGCTTGAGGGATTTTAAATGTATTCATTGTTTTCTCCTGTTTCTAACACTTTTTATCTCTTCACTGGAGATGAGGAACAACAGGAAGGGCTTGCTTCCAGAGCCAAATCCAGTGCAGATCATGAAAAGTTTTAACAATCCAGCAATGCTGCAGATGCTGCTGCAGCCCCAGCTGCGTGGCCACGCTGTTAAACCTGGTAAGCTGCTCTAAAATAATGCAAAATTAAACCCTGTTCTTACTGCTGCAAGGCTTTTGCAAAGTAATTAAGTGGAAATGACGTGTAAAATCTGTGCAGACACTGTTTCAGTGTGTTTGTGCAGATAATTTCACATTTTATGGAAGCAAAAGGAGGATTTGCTTTTCTTCACTTGTGTGTTTGGGTAAAATTCAGTGTTCCTGCAAATATCCTTGTGTTAACTCTGTGGGCTCTGAATATTCATATTAGAAATGGATTTAGAAAGAAATGTCTTTTGCAAGACTTTGCTAAACTTAAATCTGATCCTAGATTTGAATTTTGCAACCTGAGTCTTCCTCCTCTTGCCAGTGTAAATCTTTATTCTTTTGGCTGCTGCCACAGCCGGGCAGAATATTTATTAGAGCATCAGCCAGAAACATTTCTGTGTTCTGATTAGGATGTGAATAAACATAAACCCTAATTAATCACATTTCAAATGCCAAAAGTGCTCAGAAGGATGAGGAGATCAGTGGGAGAGAGCTGAGAGTGTGGTGAGAAAGAAACCCAGAAATGGGGTGTGAAGTGACCACTTCAGGGCAGAAACACTTGAGCTAAATCTGAATTTAAAACACTTCAGATAAAGCTGAGGCCTGGAATCAGCTCAGGAGTGAAACCCTCAGGTGTGGAGGAGCACCTGGAGCTCACCTTTGAGCTCTCACATCCTGGTAATTGTACATCAAAAGGTTTCATAGCCTCTCCCAACCTCAGCGAGTCTGTCCTTCCCTTGTAGTGACCTTTGTACACTTGAAAATTTCCTGGAAAGCAAATTTTAAAATACAGGATAATTCTAAAGATTTTTTACTTGTCCAGTTTGTAAAATACACAATTTTTTTTTTTGTGTGTGTGTTTCTGAAACAGTTCTTGGAGCATCTGCAGGTTTACCTCACCTCATAAATTCAGCAGTTGGGCCACCTTTTTTGCAGTTGAATAAAGTTCATCAGGTAGGTGACCAAAAATCTCATCAACAGAGGTGTTTGGGGAGATCTTAACATGAGAGATCCTAAAATTTTAAGGAATTACAGCTAAAATCAACCTGTTAGAGCTCTCTAAGGAAAGTTATGAGATGGGGGAGTCCAAAATGGAGTTACTTTATCTAAATTTTTGACTTTAAACCTGCCAGTGTAGACAAAACTTGTCATTACTGGCAGAACAAAATGCTCTTTAAATGGGTTCTCGAGAAATGGCACATCCCTTTCTCTTGGAGCAGCTCATACACGCTCCTGTAGAGACTTCAGGGGTTTATCTGATTCAAACCAACAAGTTCAGCACCCTTAGCTTCATTTTCAAGCTTGCAGGGATCCAGATGTGCCATAAATTGTGATTTGCAGATGTTATTTCTTACTCATAAACCCCCTCAAGGTTCTCTTGTAATTCCAGATGGGCACCAGAATTCCTGAGAGATAATGGGAAGGATCTTTGGGATGAGTTTGTGCTAGAAAACCAGAATGAGAAAATGCACCCACAACCAGAATTTGAGCTGAGCTGCTCTCAGGGATTTCTCCAGCTTTGCCAGGAGCCAAAAATTGAATTTAATATTCGTGGTAGGGATTTACACAAATACCTACAAGGGACTGGAGTCGATCACTCAGCCTTATTATTTCTGATGTTTCAGAAATTGCCATTTAGAAAACAAAATCCCCTTCAGCATCAATTATTTCTGCAGTTCTTTTGGCAAACACAGGCTTAGAGATCTTAAAAAAGACCCAACTAAAATGCAGAAATATTTGCAGAAAAAACAGCTTTTATTTTTTCTTTAAAAACCGGTAGATGAATATATTCATTTTGAATAAATGCTGCTTAATTTTGCCCCATCCAATGAGTTGCATTTGTCCATATAAAAAATTACATCAGTCTTTGTTTTTTAAAAAAAAATAATTTAAATGATAATTTCATTTGGTCTGTGTAAGTTCCTGCTGCTCTCTCTTCAGCCTGTGCTTCCTTGGAAGGCAGTGTGAGTGGTGCTCACAGCTGGAGCCAGGGATGTTTTCCACAATTAACAGTGGGATTGATGATGATCCAAAGGTTTTTCCAGTGGTTTTTGGCTTGGGAGAGCTGCAGCCAAACAACTTTGTGTTTTCTCTGTCCAGAGAATTAAAACTCTCATTCTCTTCCTGGGAGCTTCCTGTCATTTAATGAGCTCCAAACCTGAATTTTAGAAGGATTTGATGATCCCAATATCTTCTATAAGACAAATTTTGCTCTGTGATTTATTTTGGGGAATTCTCTAAAGCCAGAGAAGCAGGTCACTGTTTTATTTTTATTGTCTTGAAATTCGGTGTTGTCACTGAAACACCTTCCCAGTCACGCTGATTTAGCTCCCTGTATGTCTTGGGTTTTTGTTTTATACTCAGGGCTTTGTAAAGTAACAGAATGAGAATAAATATTTTCAAAGAATTATTTAAAAAGGATTCCACAGAGAATATTTGAAGGTTATTTACCCAGTAATTTTTCAACTCGAGGTAGCCTGATTTGCAACTTGTTTCTCTTAATTTCTCTTAGTTATAAATTACCCTGTGCCAAAATAATGCATTTTCAGCTTTCTCAGGGATGCTTCCCTCAGTCATCCAGCAATTTTATTAAATCTTGATTAATCCAGAGCTTTTCCTGTGAGGGTTCTGACCAAACTGATTTTTCCACTCTTTTATTTCTGAAAGTTTTGCAATTGAACCACTTTGCTTTATTGCTGGAGCCAAGTTCAGAAGGAGCAGCCCCTGGCACTGGTGACAATAACCAGCCCTGCATAATTTCTCCTGGAAATCACTGAGACAATTAAAATAGATGCATAACTAATCTAGATATGGCACATCTTTGTTTGGAAAAGCGCATTTCTGAGTCCAGAAGATCATATTTTAGTCCATCATAAAGGGTTTTTCCATAGGGAATTTAAGCCTGCCACCCAAAGACACAGCCTAGGCTTGGAAATATCTGGGAAGTGTTTTGCAGTCTTCATTCCCTGGGTTTGGTGATAAAATATAATAAAAAAAGGGTGTACTTGGTGTGATCACAGTGTCCTGTATATTTTTTTTTGTACAACAACCTATAGAACAACCTATATTTTACTGGCAGGTAATGCTGCCAGACACTTCCCAGGCCTGCAGCATAAATCATGATGCCTTTTAAAGTTTATTTTAAGCCTCAGTGCTGGCCAGAGCTCATAATATTGAATATACCAGTGACAGAGTCTGAAGAGGGTACCCAAAGTTATTAATTCAGTGGCTCAGTTCTGGTGGCAAACTGATCCAGAATATTTTGAATGAACAATGTGAATATTTTATAGACTTGCCAGTCTGCAGGCACTGGGATTTGTCAGGTTTTAATGACTCTGGAGTAGGATTTCATGTAGATTCTTGTGGGGGGGAAACATATCTGGATATTTCTCTGAAGCAAAACGAGTCTGTGGAGGAAATTATTATTTTCCTTTGCTGTCTTAAGTCAAAATGTGAAATTTCTTCAAGCAGTACTGTGTGTAAATGTTTCAATCCTGCTGTTCTCCCTGGCTGCCAACTAACCCTTGTCTTCATTTTAATCCTTTGTCAGAGCTCAATTCTGGGGAACACCTCCAGCCTGCTGCTGCAGAGCCCTGCCCACCTGCCCCTGCCCCAGCAGCAGCTCCTGAAGATGGAAAACATGCAGGCAAACAGTGTAAGGCCATCCCTGCACCTCTGCCTCTCTCTAAACACTCCTAGAATTCCTAAAAGAAAACATTTTTATCATCAGGTGCCCATGATATTTATGTTCCCTTCCAACCCAGCCCATTCGTGGTTCTGCCATCCTTGAACAGTTCAGTGGAGCTGAAAAGGTGGAGAATGTGGATGTTTTAAAAAGTAGCTGTGAGCAGATTATTTTAATGATTTACACAGTTTTCTCTTCTTGCTTTTAGAAACCAGGTTTGCTGGGAGAACCTCCAACAATGCTCCTGCAGACAGTGCTGGGCATAGGGGTGATGCCAGCAGTGAACTCAGGCCTGGCAACACGAGGAGAAGCTCTCAAGTGTAAATGACATTTTTGTTTCATCCCAAATCAGTAGAAATCACATTATGCACCTGGCTTTCCCCCCTGGGTAACAAAAGCAGGTGGTTAAATCCTCTGCTAGCTCAGTTACTGCCTTTTTGTGTACACTTGGAATATGTTTTTATTTAGAGGTGACATTTTCTGGGGTTTTTCAAAGCAGCTAAATGTGAGTTGCTTAAGAGGAACCACAAATTTGCTCTTTGCCTTCATTTTATTAAGAAATGAGTTTTAACAGCCAGTCTCTGACAGATGTTAATTTGGAATGCAAATTTCTGTGCCATTGATCCCTCAATATTTATGAGGAAAGATCAGTTGGATACTGGGGGTGCTCACCTGGAGAGGAGAAGCTCCAGGGAGAGCTCAGAGCCCCTTGCAGGGCCTGAAGGGGCTCCAGGAGAGCTGGAGAGGGACTGGGGACAAGGCCTGCAGGGACAGGACACAGGGAATGGCTTTAAGCTGGAAAAGGCGGGATTTAGATGGGATCTTGGGAAGGAATTCCAGGCTGGGAGGGTGAGCAGGCCCTGGAATAGAATTCCCAGAGCAGCTGGGGCTGCCCCTGGATCCCTGGCAGTGCCCAAGGCCAGCTTGGAGCACCTTGGGACAGTGGGAGCTGTCCCTGCCATGGCAGGGCTGGGAATGGATGATCCTTAAGGTCCCTCCCAACCCAAACCATTCCAGGATTTTCTGATCTTGTTTCCTCCACTGCTCCCTGTGTTCTGCAGTCCTGGCTGTGCTCTGAGTCATGGCAGTAACCAGGGGCAAGGAAAAGGCAGAAAGCTGCTCTAAATGTCCAGATTTTCATTTTGGAGAACACTTTCCAGCTCTTCAGTTAAAATAATTTCTTTTTCTGGCATTTCCTGATGCCAGTTGAGGTGGGGTTCCCCCCTGTGTCCCCATCCAGCATCCTCCAGGATGTTGTTCCCAGTGGTTTTTTGAAAATGACAGGAAGCACTAAGCAAGTTATCACAGGGAGTGTTTAGAAAAGTCAGAGTTTTATTGAATCAGCTTGAAATTGAGTTGTTTTCTTGTGGGATGGGAAAAGAACAAAACCCAGGGAAGTAGATCTGGAACAGTTCTCCTCCCTCATTAACCCCACAACCAAACCCTCTCTAATAAATCCCATCTAACAGCAAAATTTCTCCATTTATGGCTGGCTGCAGCATCTAACCCCGCTGCCATTGCAGCAGCGGCAGGGATGGGCATGCTGCCATTCTTCCCAAATCAGCACATTGTTGGACAAGCTCTTCCCGGGCCCAACGCCGCTCCAGACAAAGGCGAGGCGGTGCCGGGAGCGCAGCCCTTCCCTCCGGCACTGCCCAGCCTCCCCGCCGGGGCCCTGCGTGCTGCCCCCTCCAAGGCTCCCGGGCAGCTCAAGAACTGCGACTCCAGCCTGGGGGTAAGGAGCATGCAGCACAAACACTGCCTCTCCCTCCTCTTCTGTCTCCTCTTCCCTCTCTCCTCTTCTCTCTGTCTCCTCTGTCTCCTCTTCTCTCTCTCCTCTCTCTCTCTCTCCTCTCTTTTCTCTCTCCCCTTCTCTCTTTTCTCTCTCTCCCTCTCTCCCTCTCTCCCTCTCTCCCTCTCTCCCTCTCTCCCT